GTGGAGTAATTCGGAATATTTGGCCTCGGTAGCGTGGTTGGGTGGGCCACTAGCTTGTGCGGGCCACTAACTTGTGGATTACGTTACACAGGAAGCTGCTGAGTAAGCGGCTAGACAGGAAGGGGCCGACAGCGATGGATATGGGGCTACAACAGATCGCAACCCTTGGTCTTCTATCTGTCGAGTCCAGCAAGCTTAGTAAGGGAAATTCATTACTGTGCGCGTGTATTGATCGCACTAGGGATGAGGGTCGCTAAATAATGCCGCTGGTGGGAAGGAACCTTGGATCTTACGACATAATTAAGATTTTCAGACTAGCCTAATCACGGCACAGGTTTGGGTTAGGTCACAGTGCATGAGCGGTATCTGAGAGAAACGTATATATCCATTGTGAGGGCGTGCGTCTTGGTGACTTGCCTTATGACTGACTGTTCGGGTGCCATAGCTAGCTACAAATTATTGCCCGAGGAGCATATTGTTCACCGCATTAGGGAGAAGGTCTTTTCTAGGCCTCCTGCAGCCAACTAAAATTCCGCTTCATCAAAGTACTCCTCTTTCGTATCTGCAATAGCCCACTGCAGCCGCCGCAAACCACGCTAGACAAGTATTTGCGGGCTGTTGCGTTAGAGAAGTCCGCAATTCCGTTGCCTAGTCTTCGATGCCTGAAGACTTCGCTAAGGAAATGCCACTATCAGGGCTGATAGCCAGCAATCTTCTCAAGAATAGAGCCAAGGATTCCAATAGCGCCCGCTATCATGATGACAACGACCATACCAAGAATGATTCCAAAGAAGACATTGAGTGCAAAACCAAGCACTGGTAGGTCTGGGGCGTTGTCAACTAGTGCTGCAGGCGCTGCGGGATGAACGGGATTCTCCAGGGCAGCAGCGTCATAGGCAGCGCGGATTAGTTCCCGGATGTGTTCAGGGACGCGTCCGTGGCCACTGACAGCCAGAAACCTAATGCGAGAGGCTTGAAGGCAGACGGGGTCCAAGATATACGTCGCGATGCGGGGATCAAGAGCGTTTAGAGCGTCGAGAGCACCCTGGTTGACCGCACCACCCATCAGCGCCCGGAAGTAGACGTCCGCTATGGCACGAGATTCCATGGCGGGTATAAATCTCGTGTCGCGCAGGGCCAAGGCCTCGGCAGTAGGCTGGACAGGAGCTACGGCGGCCCGAGGAGTCTCAGGGCTAGCAGGGACAACAGGAGCCTCTCGGGCAGCAGCGTTGTTTGCAGCAAGAAATTCAGCACGATTCTGCTCAGAGAGTGTCGCGTCGTCGAGCATCATAGCGCGAAAGGTGCGAAGTCGGGCAGGATCGATCATGGTATCGACGACGTGCATTTCTCGGGCGTTGAGAGCCTCAACAGCAGCGGCGTCGATGCCTCGACCAAGAAGGGCAGGAGTGAGCACCCGTATGACTGCTGGGGTAATGGACAGATTATCGTCTACCTGGTCGTCCGGGATGAGGTTCGAGAGATGTGCTTCTACTGAAGAGGCGGGCACGGCCTGGACGATAGGCGCTTCCGTTACAGCATTTTGAACGGGGTCAGCGACCGGTACAGGAACTAAGGGTGCTAGAGCCGCGCGGAGATTGATGCAAAGTTCTTCGATAGAGGCAGCCGGGCGACCCGTGGCTTCGGCAATAGTGGGATCTTCGAGGCGGGCGAGCAAGCTGGCCCGGTAGGCGTTCACAACAGCAGGACTGAGAAGAGCGATAGCGAAGGCGTTGGAGGTTTCAGACGCATTGAGCCAATGTATAAGGTTAACTATGACATTACCTAGGCTGTCGGGAACAAGGAGAGCAGCGACCGCGGGTGCCAACCACGCCACTGGAGGCACTGGAACCAAAGCGAAGGGGTCTTCTAGTGCGTCGCGAACGGCAGTGCAAAGGGATGCAATTATGGCAGGGGGGTGGCCAGTGGAGCTGGCAATAGTGGCATCTTGAAGGCAGGCGAGGAGGCCGACACGGAGGGCTCTGAGGGCGGCAGAATTGAACAGCGCCAAGTGAAACGTGAAGAGGACAGCATCAACGTGAAGCCCGTCGACCAGGACGCCAAGAATTCGGTTCTTGTTCTGTGGAAGGAGATAATCTTCGACTTCCCGGGCAAGGGAGAATTCGGCATCAACAGGACCAGCGGTGGGCAGAGCGTCCGGGGCGACAGCGGCGCCAATAGCGTCAAGTTGAGCTTGAATCCTACGGAGCCGAAGAACCATGGAGATGGGTTCCGACTGGTAGAATACGTTCGTACAGACTGGGCATTCCTTCTTCCTCGCAAAGTCGCTTTTGAGCCATTTGATCAGACAAATGAGTCCGAATACATGATGACAGCGCGGATTGCTAGTCGCTAGGACCGCTGTATGATTTCCCGTGTCAAATCCCTCGAAGCAGATTTGACATTCCGTAGGAATCTCCAATACGTGATTCTGCAAGAACTCTTCGAGAGTCGATGGCATGCGATCGTCCATGGCCGTAGGGACCCGTCGTAGATAGGGTGGTTGTAGATGGCTTGATTGTAGGATGCGGGTAGGTTTGTGGTGAGCTATGGTGGGGGGCGCGGTTGTGGAGGATGTTGGTGAGCTGCCTGGAAAGTTTGATGTTGAGGAAATGTATGAACGCGCGCACGACGCCGGCGTGGTGAATGAGCGACCCGAGTCGCGAGTGAGCGCTCTGACTGTGCTTCGTTGCAGGGTGGGACAGCCCTGATAGAAGCGGCCTGGTGAATCTCAGCGTACCGTCGAAGTGGCTTTAGGTCCGGGGATGAAGTCATTATTTGCTACAAGGTGGCATGACGAGCGATATCTTAGTGATAAGATAGGAGTGCTTATACCTAAGCATATAAAAGTAGTCAACAAAGTCTAGCAGACTAGCTAATGAGATTTGAAGCGGACCATGGACTTCACAAGATAGCAGAATTACTAACCCCAAATAGCAGGAATTACATTACCTGTTTTGCACTGAAAGAAATCAATCTACTGAAACCATAATTTCTTAAATAACGTTTGTATGAAATCAACTTGTATGATGTCGCCCTCTGCGGCATGACTCACCGCGCCCACCAATCGCTTCACTTGCAGTCCTGTCGGTGCGCTCGTTGTCGGAGATTGACCCAAGAGACATCAGAACAATCCGGTGTACTAGGCGAAGGATGTCGTCTCCTGCCGCCGTCTCCAGCGTCCTATCCGACTCCATCGTGTCAATCGACTTAACGCCTAAGTGCGTCGAGGAAAACTTGCAAGGCCCGAATCTCCCAACGAATCAGACCCTCCAGGAGGGATTCGATGTCGTACTCCAGCAGGACCTTAAACGATGTCGCTCGATTTAGAGGCGCGCGAATTACGATGAGATGGTAAATGGTGAAAGCATCGCCTACGCGGTGAATTAGGGCTCTTTTGATAGAGACGAAAGAAAAGCTTGGTGAATTTCCGTGCCTCCATGGGGGCTTGCACATGTTTGCATTTGTCTTTTCGGTTTTGGGTGCGGAGGAACAAAATTCCGTGCTTTGAACCAGCAAAAGAGCAGGTGCGGGTCTCGTTGATGAGCGGCTGATGATGTGTGGTATCTTGACAGAGTCATAATGTCTAACGATGATGGAACGTCAAGGTCCCACTCCATAGCGAAGGAAGTCCCGAATCTGTCGAGATAAGCTTTAATACTCAAAAGACCTCTTTTGGATCTGCCGAGTCACGTGATTGGCACATGATATCGCTCTCCAACTACTTCACTTCCCTAGGCAGCTTCGGCACAAGCTAGTCGAAAGGCGCAGGAGGGTGCCGCATGTCCAGGTATGCAGATAGTCTCGCATGTCCAGGTGTCTATGTGTTCACGGACACACGCCCTTTTGGCAACTCTTGGCTTGATATGATCGGAAAGTGTGGCGATGTGCACGCGCAAGCGAGTGAGAAGGAGAGTGTACGAGTAAATAATCGAAGGTAGCACGACGCGACCCGATAGTGAAAATGGACGAAGGAAGCGACGGATAGAAAGCTGGGAAATCACAAGATGGAATTCAAAAGCGTTGCAAAGTAAGGACTAGCAGACACTGTCGCCTGAGATGGCACACCGAGATCTAAAAGCTAAGAAAGAAAACAGCCGTAGGCATTTTCACATGGTCTCCAGCTCCTAGGATGCATTCGTCTTCTGTCTTCTCAACCGATGAAATGAAAACTTCCCCGCTTCGTCAAGCACCAAATCTAGCACTCCTGCTACGAGGAACGTGAAAATAATCAGCGGCACTGCGACGACCCAGTACACCCAAAAGGCGCTCTGCCCCGGCGCAAAGTTGTCCGTCATACTAAACAGACTCGTGCTGTACGCTAGGGGGATAAATACCAACCCCACCAAGGTGAGTCTCTTGGCCCGTTTGGCCTCGTCCAGCGCCTGGTGATTGCCGGCGATCGATGCCAAGCCTGTCATCGCCGCCATCAGCGTATCCGCGCGGGCCTTAAGGGATTCAAGCCGGAGGCGTATATATTGGTAATCCTTCGCCGAATCCATCCAACTACCCGCGGTGGAGGAGGGTAGCGAAAGAGGGAGACCCAAGCTTAGGAGTATGTCTTCGATATTATCGCAATAGTCGCCGCAGCGGCGGGAGATGGTTTGGAGAGTGCGCCATTGCTCTTGTTCGTTTGTCCAGCTGCTGGAGAGTTGGAGTTCGAGGGAAGGGAGCATCGCTTTGATATAAGCGACTAGTTGGAGGTAGTGGGCTGCTATGATCTTTTTGGGAAAAAGTGATGCGGCAACGGGGAGTTTCCAGTCTGCGGGGGGAATGAGGTGGGCATGGTGGGTGTAGTAGAAGACCAGATCGTGGAGCATAGATTTTCGGGTATGTTTTGGGGTAGTTAGATGGGCGTCGCGGGTGAGATTTATTGGGAGAAAATCAACGTAGCCGCCTTGGAAAGGACTATTGGGCACGGTGGCACATGTGCTTGAATCATTCCAGGCATCTTGGAGTTGGGGATCGCATAAGACGACGACTAGTTTAAGATCAGCGTTCCGGAGATAGAGAAATATCTATTAGACCAAGAAAGGTTCACTTACCATCCCAACCTCCGCTTTGTGTTTCCCGAGACCAGAAGGAGCATTTGCGCCGTAGCATCCCGGTCGTCGACTTCTCCTCGTGCCTAGATGGAGTCATCCCAACATGTCTACCAGTCCTTTTACAAAACATTGCGGTGTTGGGAATAATTTGCGGAAACTGTCTCAGCTCGCAATAGTCGATCATGAAGCTCTTGTGTGGTTCTAGTAGTGACGGCTGCGGTAATGAGTCGCTCACGGGCGTAAATGCGTTACTCCAAATGCAGGTACGCTCTTGGCGCATGAAGAAGGATGGATTCATGAAGAATTGCGATCCCAAAACGGAGATGTAGTCCTGAGCAAGACCTTCCATGATGTAGATGCGCCGTCGTGGATGAGGCCCTTGTGGAGATGCCGAATCATTCATGAAGTAGGATTGAAGATCGGAGCATGATTTGAACTCCTTGGATGCAAAATTGAGGGAAGAATGATCTTGCTCTAGCATAACGACGGTCGCGTTTCCGGGTTTGATGGGGTGGTCTTTATTTTTTGGGTCTGCGATCATTAATCCAGGATCGTAGGAGCAACGCTCTGCTATAAAATCCAGGTACGGGCCTATTGCCTGTGAGCTTGTGTGAGACTGGGTCACCTTTGCACGACTTGCGACGTACCTTTGGCACATAGCCACGCCCCATCTGTCCCTAGGTCGTCAAGACTGAAGCTACTTGATGCGAACTTCTGCATCGTGGAAGTCGTGACGCGTCAAGCAATCGCTGCAAAACTTTGTGGAATGGGTTAAACGATATCGACTAGAACAAATGAGAGGAGACAGAGCTATGAAAAAGAACTGAAATTCAAACAAGTCGTGAGTTTTATCTCATTCGTGTCGTATCGCGAGTGTCCGTCATACGTGTCCTGAAGGAAAACTCGGGTTGAATGGCTCTTAGGTAAAAAAGGAGGAAAAACTTTATTTGCTGAGCCGCACGTATCCACTGAGCGGCACGGCGTCGCTAATTATGCATCAATCATGGAGAACGGCCTAGCGTATATGACTGTATATGCATGAATGCTGAGAGGTCAAGGCGCGAGGCTGAGTGGGGGCGGGAATCAGTTTGGAGTTGGTTTTCTGAGGCAGGTCTGCGTATGAAGACGCCGACACGGGTTTCATAGACAGGTCCTTTCGACGAGACCTCGCGGTCAATGGAGAGGTATATCCATGGCGATGAGGATATGGGCGGGATGGTTTTTGAGGTTGTGGAGAAGGGGCAGGGGGGATCTCGTACGAAACGATGCCAAGGCCCTATTCTATTTACGAACTAGCGCGGGGAAACTCCACTTTTACAACCTTGGAACTCGTCCATCCCATCTCCATCCACCCTTCACCACTTTCCCGCTCCTATCTCATATAGTTCATCTCATCGTTTCGCCATTAGAGCGATGCCAATGGATACATTTCCCAGCATGTCTACCCCTGGCAGAGGCTCATCCAAGTGCCATGATCGAAGCGCCGCACACTTTGGATCCATTCAGCCTCGTCCAAAGGATCTGAGCGGGGGCTTCCATCCGGCTTCATCTAATATAGTGCACTTGCATCCTTGAGCTGGTCGCCCCAGCTTCCTAACTCTGGTAGCCTTAGACAGAGGAAAGGTAGGATTAACCTTCGTTAACTACTATATCTCAGCAGGAAATTAGGGCGTCGTTTTCTCTGAGCATTCAGTATCTCAAAGCCAACTTACAAGGCTCTCCCCGACGCATAGAATCTGCAAAGCCTCATAAACAAAGGTGTTCTTGGACAGGGTACAGAGTTCTCGATTTCGACTGCATCCTTGCTTTCAAATTGCATTGGCAACAATCAGGTTTTCTTCTATCCTGAGCTGGAACTTCTCTGCGTTCCGCGCACATATGATTAAAAGCTTTCCAGAATATGCACCTCAATTCCAATTATCCTTTGTCTCTTTATGAATGCTATTGACACCCGTCCCGAGGTTCCATCCAATTTGTTTGGTGGCAAGAGCGATCCACCCATTACGAAAGCCCTTTCTGGAAGCAGATATCCACCAACCACAGCGAAGCCAGCAGTAGTGACTGGCAGAAGGGCTACATGAGACATTACTGTCGGTCTTGTTCTTAGCAATTTACCTCTTCTCATTTTGAGAACTGAGACACCATGCCAGAAGGTCCTACGGGTGAGCTTGCTAGGCTGTATCAGACATGACGAGGCTGCAGATTTTTCACCGCTGTATTTCGTCTCGAAGCCCCATTTCCCTTCGGTGTACAAGAACAGACCGCCTGCCAGAATGCCTAAACAGGTCAACCCCACAGAGATTGCCGTCATTGGGTTCGGTGTAGCTGGTCTTGCGACCGCAACGTGAGTCCCCGTCGTTACCGAAGCTGATATCAGGCCTCACTACTTACCGAACTAGAAGATATCAGCTAGCGGAAGGTGTCAAGGTCACGATGTATGAGCGCAATACCCTCGCCGGGGGTATCTGGACCTCTCGCCACCCAGACAGCATATATGAGAGCGCTATCTACGACAATCTCTCGGCGAATGTTCCTCGGCAACTAATAGAGTACTCGCATTGGCCGTGGCCGAGCGATGAACCAGCATTTCTCTCGTCTGAGCGCCTCTCAAAATATATGACAAGTTATTTCGAGGTCTTACAGCTGAGGTTCCGTGACGCCTTCGAGACAAAATTCAATGCAACGGTTACCTTTGTTTGCCGCACCAATGTCGGAAGGAAATGAACTGTCAAATATGATGATGGGACATCACCCCAAATGACCTCCGACACTAACAAGTTCCACGGTGTCGTGATCGCCACAGGGGCGTTCGACCTAAAGCATGAGCCAAACATCCCAGGTTTGGCGGACTTCAAGTCACGGCATCCAGAAGTTGTTTCGCATTCAAAAGATTTCAAGAACCCGGCCGAGTTCGAGATTAAGGTGAGAAGCCCTCTCATCTATACCCGAAAAACTCTAGTTGACAGTCTGACAGCGCGTTCTCATTGTCGGCAATGCAGCATCTGGGTTCGATATCTCACGACAGATCCTTCCCCTGGCGAGAAACGTTAACGTGTCCACACGGACAAGCCAGGTCAATCTGTGCGACAGGAACATAACTCGACGACCTGAAATTCTTCAGTTCAAAAGCGGCAAGAAGCTAGCTATCTACTTCCACGGCAATTCCATCGAGCGAAATATCCACATGGTCATATTCTGCACTGACTTCAAGTACACGGTTCCATTTCTGTACTCCCGGGTGAAATCCAAGATGGATGGCCAATGGCACACCAAAGATATCCAGATGTATGAAGACGGCTTCACTATTCCCGGCCTCTACAAACATCTCTTCTACATCAAGGACGCAAGCCTCGCTTTTGTGGGTCTCACCAAAATGGGCGCGGCTTTTCGGACGGCCGAGGCTCAAAGCGCTGTGGCTGCTCGGGTTTTCGCTAGAAGGCTAAAACTGCCTTCGAACCAAGATATGAAAGAATGGGAAGACAAGGCGAGAGCGGATTGGGAGTGCAAGGTAAGACGAAAGCTGGTCTCTTCAGAGACATTCCATGCTCTACCGGACCCTCACGACAAGGAATATATCCTAGAGCTAGAGATGTTGGCAAAATCCGCAACTGGCGCTAATTTGCTTCTTCCCCCAACCTGGACAAACGCCATGCAGTACGCACGTGACAAGAGAATGAGGCTTCGCTAGGGACATGAGATCACGACGGGGAGGACGCAGCAGCCGGACGACTGTGAGGAAGGGATCATGTAGCTCGGGGAGTAGCTTGATAGATGAGAGTAGTGATATTACGCAGGACAAGGTTTCTGTAGGCCTGACTGGTTATGATAGTGTTGATTTGGGTACCTAATGAATGGGCGCGAATTCACGAATACATGTCTCATATTCCTCAATCCAAGTTACGCTTTTCATTTTCTTGGATTCGCCTAATATTCAGCCAGGAGTCGCCGACTTTCTTCACTTTGAAACAAAACAGGCCTAGAAGAATTCTTTGTTCGATATCGCGCCACCCAGAATGTTCCCGACCGTGGCTTTCCACGAAACAAAGCTATTGTGCAGCAAGTCTAAGCACCATTTTCATCTAAGACCGTCGCCCCGCTTGCTTTCAACTAAACAATGCCTCCTCATCCAAATCGCGATGTCGCGCAAAACATCGTTCTTTCATAGCAATGTCCAACGAACTACAAAACCCAACCCTTCCCAGACAACCGATAATATTTAGAGCATTTCCACTTCTAAGCCGCGAGCGTACATAGCATACCCGTCACCTGCATGGCACCCCAAAAGTTCACTTGCGTGTTGCCTCTCTGCTCGAAACCCATTCAGCGTATCGTCGGCGACCGCAGCCTTTGCGCCAGCCGCTTCTGTGCCAAGCATCGGCTGCCCGAGCAGCATTCGTGCACGCGGCTGGAGGTGCACAAGAAGAAGGAGTTTGCGAGAAACGCGGAAAAACTGCTTTCGGAGAGGACGGTGGTTAGTCGGGGATTATGATGGTTCTCAAGGCAGTTGTCTCTAGAGTCTCCTTGTTTCTGCGACAAAGGAGAGGGAGCCGGGGCCCAAAAGAGATAGCGACGGGGGAAGACAGGACGAAGAGGTGGAGGATGGCTGAGATAAACGTCTATATGGATAGGCCTGATCATGCGCGGAAGCGATAAGGCCGAAGCCCATCCGGTTAAACCGCATGCTGACTCGGTTTCTTTTTGAAGAATGGAGGTGGCGATATGGAGTGCGCTTTTAGTGCATTCGGGTATGCTCTTTCGCTGTGTCGCCTCTTCCTTTGGTTGGTCGCGCTTCTTCACAATGTAGTGCGCAGCCAAAGCCATAATCGATTAATACAACCGTTTGAGAGCTTTTCTACGAGAAGCTACGCCATGGCCTCGCATTTGTCACGACTTAGGAAGGGGGAAGCCTGCGGAGCTCCGGTCCCAGGAAGGCCAAATTCCTAGCCACAAAACGACGCATCTGGACCGCTCCGATCACCGCGAACTAGCTTTGCTTAAGAGTTAGCTCGTGGCCAGTAGATAGATCTCAGAACGTGATTACGGAGTAGGCAAAACTCCGTGCCGCATGGCAGAACTTGGAAAGCCTCATCTCGCACCTAGACTCCCCATACCTCCCTGAAACCCTACCGCCAACCGAAAGAGCGAGTCTCGGCCCCAAAAAAACCCCAATGCGCTGCAGGAATCGAATTCGCTCCTACCTCGTACTGTACCTTACAATCGAGACCGATCGTTTTTCAACGACCAACTTACTCCGATAGGCTGAGGGACCCATGCCGTAGATCCCTCAATCTAACCTAGCCCATTACTCAGGCAAGCAAGTCTTGGCCCTGCAGAGGGAAAAGTGTCGAGTCTACACTGCACGTTGACCATGCAGCTCCGAACCCTAACCACCACTGTTTCGAAGCTGCATACATAGCGTCTGCCGCGCGGGTCGGCATGCAGCACCCGATAGGCCAAGGAAGCAGGCCTCGGCCTTTCTCGAGGACACCTGCAGCGTGGTGTCCTTGTTGTACTACGACGCACCTGTAGCGTGGTCTCACAATCGCAACAGCAGCCTGCCGAGTACTCCCCCATCGCTCGATCCTTCTGCAGACAGGTCTTGGCGGTGAGGGAAGGTCCTGGTCACGTGCCAGAGTGGTATGTGGCATCCCGACGCTCTGGCTCATCCCCGATCTCCGGGCATGACGACCATCTTCAAAACACCAACTCTACCCACCAATCCCTCTCTGAAACGCGTAAGCTGCTGGTCTCCCGTGCCGTTCGCTGTGTGGACCGCGTCATAAAACCTCAAAGGACCCTCATATTCCGGTGTGCGGTGGTGGGACCAATGCTTGGCTGAAGGATACGGGGTTGCGTGGATAGAGGGCGGTGCAGCCGAGTAGTGTCAGATTAATGGAACAATGTACTGAGGTGAATAGTTCTTGCTGTCTCTGCTTCGTGGTCTCCATTTCTGCTTTTCAACGTGACCTAAGAGCTTTTCTGTCGGGGAGGAGAGGTGAGGGCTACGGCAGGGGCATGTCACCTCTTGTATATAAGCTCACCTTCCTCCAGACCTCACCTTCTCCTCATCCTCATCATCAAAACAACACGCCCAGCGTCTACTCTCTCTTTTTACGTTACATCCTCAAACGCGAACCAACAGTAGAACAGCAATCATGGCATCCAAAATCCTCCGTCTCGTACTTCTCCTCGGTAAGACCACTGTCCTCTTCTTATCCTCCAACTCCTAACAGCCCCAGCAGCAATCACCACCGCCTACGGCGACTCCAGCCCTGGCCCCACCTACTCCAACCCCAACTTCCTCCCCACGGGCGATTCTTCCAAAATGCGCGACACCGCCAACTTCCGAAGAAACCTTACCGCCCACGCCATCCTTGCCGCCCTCGCATTCGTAATCCTCTTCCCAACCGGCGGCATCATCGTCCGCCTCGTCCCCTTCCGCCTGGTCTGGTTCGTCCACGGCGTGCTCCAGCTCTTCGCCATCCTTGTCTTCGTCGCCGCATTTGGCCTCGGGATCTACTTGGCCACCAGCCGAAGCATAACCCCCGACGGCTTGATGAACAAAGCGCACGTGATTATCGGGATCGTGCTGTTTGGGCTGTTGTTCCTCCAACTGTTTTTGGGGGTGCTGCATCATCTCGGCTTCAAAAAGACAGGGACGCGGGGGGCTTGGAGCTACGCCCACGTCTGGCTCGGAAGGGCCCTGATCACGCTGGGAATCGTGAATGGGGCGCTGGGGTTGAAATTAGCGAGGGATACTGGGACTGGGGGGAGCAACATGGCGATTATTGCTTATAGCGTCTTTGCCGGCCCGATGTGGCTCGCCTATATGACTGTAGCGGTCTTCGGAGAGGTGACGATGATGATGGGTTCTAACGAGAATGTGGGGAAGGAGAACGCTAGTCTTGAGGGGTGATGGAGCGATGGAGAGGGGATTGAGGAAGACGTACGGGGGAATGTTTATGGCTGAGAGGATGTGCATTGTTGAAGGGGAAGTATCGGGGGACAAGATGCAGCATGCAACGCTCCGGGCCAGAACGCTCCGGGCCGGCGCAATGAATTTGAAATGAATTCATTATTGTTGACAAACTGATTATGCCCTTTTGAGACCTTACTGTTGATGTCTAGTAATTCTCGTTGTGAAGCATCCGGTTCTTCTCACACGTGAAGATCTTCAAAACCAGTCTTGCCTTGATTCATGTATTCAACTAGATGGTTCTTGCAGGCTATTCAGCAGTGCTGCGGCCTGATTGCTTGGCTCCATTCCTGCTGTGTAGTCACGTTCTTCATCCCAGACTACAAATACCTGGAGCCCTGGAGCCGGACCCTTGCCAAGCCCGGCTAGTTTGGCGGGAACTCTATCCAGACTTCATACCCGTCCATCTTACCTAATCAACATCATTGTCGATCACTTCTTAATCTCTCCCGTATATTGAAGAACGATTTCTGCTACCAGTGTACCGAACAGTTGCTATTTGACATCGTTCCGCGCCGAATGTTGATACTGAAGTCATAATCTCTCTCGATATATCCACTCCGCTTTCGCTGAGAAGCCAGACAATGGCATCAAAAGTTTTCGATCAAATTTCCACTGCAAACGAAGATGTTTGACCGAGATTTCGTTCTTCAATAAGTAAACCTAATGAACAGACGGTATTTTTTCAAGCGCTACCCTTTCCACGTTCACAGTTATAACAGCGATTGCTCTATGCTTTCGGACAGAAATCTTGTGTTTTGTTAATTGTCAACTACATATCACATCTTCACGTCAGATTTGAGAGTTTGGTTTCTCGGAGGACTGCGCGTCTGGTACTCAAAGGTAGAATATTGATGCTCTTGAGATAAGTCGGATGTTCTACAGCTAGCATGGCCAGTAGACACTCGACACTATACTGGACAGCTTTCATGTTCTCACTAGCACCTATGTGTCGTCCACAATATCCTCATGGGCCTCTCCAGTGCTTTCTCCAACGCAATCTTCGGATTCTGGGTCCAAATCTTCCTCCCACTCCTCTTCCGTCTCCCAATCATCCTCAGCATCCTCCTCTGGGGCTTGGTGGACTGTCTGCCAGAAGCCTCCAAGCTGCCAAGCCCGTGGCGCTCTCACCTCCTCGAAGTCTAGCGTCCTCTCCGTCTGAATCGCAGTCCAACTCCGGTATTGGGCGCGCTCGCTTGAGCGAACGAATTTTACGCAAGCCTTGTACCCAACATTGAGCCTTTTCCAACGCGATCGCGCAGAATTCGCCACCTCTTCCTTTTTCTCGTCATCAGAGTCATCCTGAGCTTCAACAGAAGTCCGGGACATTCCAGATTCAGATGCGAGAGACAGTGATAACCTCGACTTCAAGTATGCGTTTGGATTAAGGGAGCCTGTGGTTACGGCCCCATTCCCCGTACTACGGTTTCCTCCACCCAATGCTTGTGGTACGCTGAGAGCATAGCATGACGTGCGCCGCCTCAAGTCCTGCGGTAGCTCACAGCCAGGGTTCAGAAAGTACTCAGTGAAGTGCTTCTGAAGCGCGGCGAAGTCTTCCAGCTCATTGGTCGTGTAGTATTCGATGCGTCTCGTGACTCTGTCGACCTTTGCCCGCCGAAGCGCTTTCTCGTTTGCCAAGACCAAAGACTTTTTCCCGTCAATGATCAAAAAGTCCGCAGCATCAACGGTTCGTTCGGATGGTTTGGCTACATTCGGTGAAATAGTTAGGCCTAGTTCCGTGGCATACTTATCCAGAAGCTCCACATTAATGTAAAGGCCTTCGATCTTTTCATCCCCTCGAATTTCCTGGTAATTTGTTACCATCAGGAACGGAGACTCAGTGGCGCGGATGAAGCTCCTAGGCTCGGCCAAGCAGAGCAGCTGGGTTATGTTGAATAGTTGGGCTTGGGACATGGTACCATACTGGCCATGTATTCTTGATATGGATGGTGTTTCCAGACGTCATCTGACGAAGCGCTACAAACGCTTCTATCATCTGGGAGGGCACATTGCCTAACATAGCGAGATCCCGTCTGAGTGCCCGAATGCCGCGGCTGTGATAGTATCCTGACTGGGGCTCGTTGCGGGGGTATGCCTTCAGCTTCCGGCGCAGGACTCGTCCCCACTTTAGCCATACTTGGCGAACGAATCCAAATAACGTAGCCGGATAGCATGTGGCCCAGGATAGCATGTGGCCCACCCCACCAAACCACAACGCCAAATATTGCGAATTGCTCAACCACAACGAATTGTATTTGGTGTAGCTACCTGCTAGCTAGTTGCCTGGCGTCTAGGGCACGTACGAGCGTTGTGCTCTAATGATTCGCACAAGCTACACTTTGGTGGTGCTCGCTGCCGTCGCTCAGCTGGCCCTGCTGTTGCCCCCTCTGCTGCCCCTTCTTGGGCAGCTTGTGCGAGAGCAGCCCCTTCTGCTCCTAATAGAACACCTCCTCTACCTATATACCTGCGTTTCTTTGCCCTCTTCTTTTTTTGGCGCTGATTCTCTTTGCGTAGCTGTTCAACTTCGCGTTCAAGCAGCACAGTCCTTGACATTGCGATTTCACATCCTTTCGCAAGTTGTCGAATTGCATCATTTGTTGGGCTTGGTGGGCTATGCGTGCGCTGCCTAATTAACCGTTATATTAAGGCCCTTTGCTTTTGAAGCTCCTTAATATTATAAGGTATCTTAGCAGCCCAAGATGAAGTTTTTGATTGTGGACGGCGTTAGGGTGATGGCGTTTGATATTCAACATGCAGCTGTGATAGCACGCGATCAGGGCTGTATGGAACTAGCCTAGTAGCTGCGAATCCTGCCCGTATGTTGTTCTGTAATAGTGCTAGCTGCCTAGCCTGCTTGTATAGTAGTAGGAATTCGTGCTTGTCGATGTGGTTAACGCCGCTAGCCATTATCTGTTCAACGCTGCGCCCGTATGCCTGCTTAAGCGCTGAGAAACAGCCTATATCTAGCGGTTATAGTAGATGCAATAAATATACTGGCATGCAGACGATAATGATTTTGTGATCTATAGCAAACTGATCGAATTTAGGGTTAATATAGCTGTTGTGGCCGTCTAGCACAAGCATCCGATATGTGCCAACTGTGCGATCCTTTATACGCTTATGGAATAGCTTTAGCTAGACTAGGCCAATCTCATTTGTTGTCCAGCCATCCTTACTAACACTAATCGACCAGTCGTGTGGAATAATGTTGTCCTTGTACTAAGCAGCCTGGTGCATAATCGCTTTAAAGATAACCAGTGGTGGAATTGCTGCCCCTATCGCATTAATACACTTAATAATTGTAACCTACTCGCGATTGCCTAGCTGTACAGTTCTAGGCCGGCCAGCTCTATCTATTCCAGTAACAACTTTCGAAGTTGTAATAACACCCATCTGGACGCCAGTTTTATCGAAATTCCAGGTATCTTCATCTAGAATGCCGTATTATATCTTAACGTCTTAAACGCGTTTAAACCAGCCCCGAATAAGCACAGGATCTTCGCATTTAGCACGCTGGTAATTGTACTTACAATTAAATTTCGATTGTAGGTTGTTATTGCGGTTAATGTAAAGCCGTGCCCACTTCTCGCCAATAGGTCTTATATCCCCACGCTGCGTGGCTAAGACGCCAGCTATTTCCCGTACGGTCGCGATTCTTAGCGGCATACCGTGTTAATCCATCGATAGAATCCACTGCTTAAGGACCTCTTCTTATGCTTGTGTAAGACGGCGATTTGGTGCTACTAAGCCACATTTTGGCTAGATACTATTAACGCGTCGCCGTGCTGTTGTTCTGTGCACATCGTACGTGCTAGTGGCCTTTCGGAAACTTGTAATTTGGCCTTGTTTATAGGCATTAATAGATAGAAGAATTCACTCAGGTTGCAAATTGACGTGAACTCTGTCTTATTTCGGGGGCCCGAAGGCCAAACTATATACTACGTAGGAAGTGACTGTACGCGTAGGCAGAAGCACTAATTAGAGACAGCAGTAGGCACGGTAGGCACGGTAGGCCACCGTACCCCAACCCCTCTCTGTAGAAGTTGTAACTGGCTAGGCATGTAGGCAGCTACTATGCCAGCAACTCCAAGTCACCCCCCAACTTCGGAAGAGAGATGAGACTGTAGAAGTGCATGAGATATAGGAAATCTTGGCAATTTGTGGTGTTTGTAGGGCTATTTGTCGTCGTCGGATTCATTGGCCGTGGTGCCCTGGCCGATGCGATCGAATATATCAACGAGGTTGAGCTGTCGAACGAAATTCTCGTGTTTCTGTCGAGATAGGACCTTTGTAAAGCCGTCTGCTATCATACGTTCGGATGCAATCCATTCAATTTGTACGTTGCCGGCTTGTACTTCTTGGCGTAGCCAGTGGCTGTGTATATCAACGTGCTTAAGGCTAGTAGTAAGCTTGCTGCCGGCCGTTGTAAGTAGCCGGATGGTTTGCTGGTTATCGCACAGCACGGAAATGGCCTGGTTGCCCTCTAGGGCTAGATCTAGGTGTACAAATAGGCGTTGCCACCACATGAATTCCGACACAGCTGCCGATATAGCTGTAAGCTCTGCATCGGTGGAGGACATCGTCACGTGCGTTTGTTTGGTGGCCTTCCAATCGACAGGGCCACCAAAAAGCTTCAGGATATATCCTTGTGAGCTTCGGCGTATAGCAACATCGTCGGCAAAGCTGGCATCGCTGGCTCGTACAAGCATTTAATCGGTGTTAATTATAGAGGCAGAATACTGCAGTGTATATCCCCTTATTTAATAGAGATAGGCAAGTGCTCAGTCAGCAGCATAGTAGTAAGCGGGCGACGGGTTCCTGGCAAATTCGGCCAGCTATAAGGTTATACGGGCTATATCCGGCCGTGTATTAATAGCTGCATAGAGCAATAACCCTATTTTCTATTAATAGCTATAAATAGAGAATGCACTAGCTGCTGCGGCTTTATAGGGAATAAGGCTATTTATAGCTATTAGCGTATGCATATAGAGGGCCTCCTTCTACCGGAATTTGCCTGCAATTTTATTAATATATAAATCCTGGCAAAGCTATAGTTAGCCGGCAGCTTAGTTACAGAGTATATAAATATCTAGGAACTAGAAGGCTTCCCCTAGATCTTTTATCTTATATTAAGCTATTAGGGCATATTTAAAATTAGCTAATTTATCGCCGTGTTATAGCATGCAGTATGCTATAAAATTATCTATATAGAAGAATATAATTAGGTGTTAATTAATAAACAGGCATAGCACGCTAGGCACCTTTTTAAGCCCTAATTCCCGCAGCGTTTTTAATTAATTATTTAGCTATAGTAGGGGGGAACAGCGGAGGCCGTAGAGGCCTTTATTTACACGCAGTAGGTAGCTTTTATAGCAGAAGCCGTTAGGGTAGTAAATATATACTTTTTTATCTAGCTCTAGGTTTATAAAGGCCGATATAGTATTAGCCTGCTAGGTATTAAAATTAGCTATATAGATAATAGCTGCACAGGCCCGAAAGGTTTTTCCGGCTAATATAGCTGTATAGGTGTTTAGCTCTATAGGCTGTTAAAGGTCGCCGCGTATATATAGGCGTGCTTTATAGTATATAAGGAAGCTGTTTTCATTAAATTTATATATAAATACCTAGGTAACCGGCACAGCTAGGGCCTTTATTTCTGGCGTCTTTTCTATAGCTATAAAGCTACCGCATTCCACTAAGCCGTTAAGTTCTTTAATAGCGGCTGCTATAAACCCCTAGCGCTTAGGGTGCTGCAGTAGCTGCTTCTAGTTTCTAGGTGGCTCTAGAAAGGATTTTTAATAGCTGCCTCCGGTAACGCCTGCGGCAAAAGTAGTATATAGAGTAGGTAGGCGTTTATCTAGAGCTTCGGCTTATACAATTGCTATATATAAGGCTGCACGGGGTTTAGCCGGCTTGCGGTCACGGGTAGGCCTTAAGGAAGCTGCCGTGGTAGCCACTACAGAGGCCGTTGGTGAGGCCGTTAGTAAGGCCGTAGGCAATGCTGTAGCAGAGGCCGTAGGCAATACCGTAGCAGAAGCTATAGGCGATGCCGTAGCAGAGGCCGTAGGCGATACTATAGCAGAGGCCGTAGGCGATACTATAGTAGAGGTTGTAGGCGATGCCGTAGGAAGACGGCTAGGTAACGGCGTAGGATTTGGCGTAGGTAAGGCAGGCTCCGAACGGCTATTGCTGGAGCAGTTGTTGTTATTTAAGCTCGGCGAGCCGGGCGGCTGCTGCTGCTATGCGGGCGGCTGCTGCTGCTGTGCAGGCGGCTGCTGCTGTGTAGGCGGCTGCTGCTATTACTCTGCACGGGGTTATACTTCAATTTTATTAAATAGGGGGTTATTAGAATTATTATCCTCTATTACCCGGTAGATTTATGCAATAGGCGGCTTTAAAAGGCTTTCTATATTTAGGACGTGCTTTACCTATTAAATTAGTAGTTATATAGCTAGATCTTCTAATAAAGGGTTATAAAATAGCGTTTTATTAAATATAATATCCTATACCCTAATAACTTTATCCTTACTTAGCATCTATATTCTATAGATATTAGCCGATTTATAGCTAATAAAATAGCTAATAATTGCTTAGGGTGTTGTTTTCGGCGTTTTTAGTAGCTTTTTTAACATCGGATATACTCTATATTTATACACACGTAAACGCTGTATACTAGGGTCTATCGGCCTGCTAGTTGCAGCCTGCAAGGCTGTAATTAGAGTTTTCTAACCTAGCGCTTTAGTAGGCGTTCTATTAAGCAAATAGGCGGCTGTTTTATATACTTCCGGCTATAAATTTATAGGTAATTAGCTTTCCTTTTATATATAACGGGCTTTTTTAATAATAATTCCGCTAGAGCGCTTTGCTCTACTATTCTATATAGTATTATAGGCCGTAGATTAATTAAATTTAAT